AAAGAAGGAGTGACGAAAATCAAGAATAAACACTGACTGCTTTTGTTTCTTGGATCTTTTGTCTCTTTGGCCCTGCTTCCTGGTTCTGTGCGTGTGTTGCGGGAAGGACTGGGTAACAGTGGTTGCCTATCGTTTACCAAAACTGCCTCCGGAGTAGAATTAACCCATAAAGAGGGGGCACATTGAAATACAGATTCACAGCTCTTGTGACTGTGGATTGGGACGTTCGAGGCAGATACATTAAGAATGTATACATTAAAAAAAAGTATACATTTTAAGGGAGGAGGGTATAGCTCAGTGGTGGAGCGCATGGTTACCATGTACAATGTCCTGAGTTCAATCCCCAGTACCTCCATTAAAAAAACAAATAACCCTAATTACTCCCCTCTCCCCTGAAAAAAAAACACAACCAACCAACCAACCAAATAATTTATATATTTTAAATAAGAAAACGTGGGAGACTTGGAAGCATTTCTAGGCCCTAGAGCTGTGGTCTGGCTCCTGATTTGAGCCTTGAAAGTATTCAACATTACACAACTGCTCAGAATTTTCAAGAATTTATGGGGGAAAAAACCTCGTATCTGAAAAAGTGTTCCTACAGTGACGGCTAAAGCAGGCCTTGGAGTTCTGTTTTTCATAAATAACCCTCTTTGTGGGCTTCTATTATATCTTTTAAAGGCAAAAAAGTAAAACAAGAGGAAGTATCTAAACTCTATTTTCAAGACCTCAGTACTGCTGTCTTGTGTTAGGTTATCCTGTGCTTCAGGGTCTATGGAGCTCTTTTACCTGCTTTTTCCACACGAGGCTCACTGGAAGTCTCGTGGGTGAGGCGCCCTCTCGTCTCACCGTACATTGAAAGACAAAAGAAAACAAAAATTCAAGAGCACCAAAAGCAAAATTACTGCACAAATTATACACTCCAACCCAAGGAACAGTCTGACTTTCTCAACAGCTTCTATAGTTATTTCATCCATGTGTTTTTGACTAAGAGTGACTGTGACAGGACATTTAGATCACTTAAAATTGGAGCATCACTGGCCCTGCTTATTTTCCAGAAATCACTTTATCATTCCAGAAAGACTGAGGCAGAACTGAGGGAGGTCTGCTCCGGTGGCTCAGGGATCCCTCCTGCCTCAATTCCGTGTGGTCCTCTCTGGATCAGCTTGTACCACCTAATAGTAGACCAGTCACACAACCTTCTCATCTGAAATCACTGATTAGTATCTGCTTCTTGTTCTGCAATGTTAGCCACTATATATGAAAATAAATTTAAAAAAATTTCTTCTGCATAGCACAGGGAACTATATTCAACATCTTGTAATAATAACCTTTAATGAAAAAGAATATGAAAACAAATACGTTTGTATATGCATGACTGGGACACTGTGCTGTACACTAGACACTGACACATTGTAACTGACTGCACTTCAGTAAAAAATAAAACTAAAAAATTGAGAGACTGAACACACACACACACACACACACACACACACACACACACACACACACACACACACACCCAAAACCTTCTCTTCCTTCCACGACCAGATCCTACCCATTCTTAAAGTCTTTAATACCAATTTAATTACTGGTCCCTTTGGGCAGCCTTCTCTTGTCTCCTTCCTACAGCTCACTAGATGAGGCCACTACCTCATCTCAGCTTCTGCACTGCGGCGAGGAGAATCCCAGGATCTAGACCCTCTTCTGGTAAGAGTGGTCCCGTTTTCCCTGGAAAAGAACCCCCTACCCCTTCCCCGGCTCCCCTACACCTCGCCTGTATAGTTTGAGTAGAGTCAATTTGCTATTTTTCCCCATCTCCCCAGCACTTTCTCTCAGCGAGACTCACTCTTGAATTTTGCTGAAACTCTTAGAAAATGTCTCTCTTTAAGTGGAATTTGCTAAGCTAGTAGAAAATAAGCTTAGAGCATTCTGCTCACCACAAGAGGTAAGCCTACCCCAGAACAGAGACTGCAGAGGATTAAGAGATGAGAGGAGGAGATGTTGAAGATGTTGAGTACCTGGATCCAGCTGTGTCTGAAGGCAGCCTTGGCCTGGACTTTCCTATCCTGTGAGTCAGCACATTCCTTTTTTAACTTAAAGCTCCATGGATTTCTACCCCTGCAATCAAAAGAGTGATATTTGTACCTTGCTTGTGGACCTCATGTTCTAAATGAGAGCCCATTTGATCTTCCCAAGTAGTCTGGGGCTCCTCAGCATACTTTCAATGTCTCTGTGACGAGTCTGGGCTCAAAGTGCTCCTCTGTAAGTTTTTGAAGAATGAATACAAGAGGTGGCTGATTTATTTAGGCCACTTAGGCTGTTGTCACTTAAGTGCCACCCATTCAACAAAATTGAAATGAATCCATTCTTTGTGTTCAGCTACCGTCTCCTCAAAGATGCCCTGAACGCCCACGTTACCACCCTCATCCCTATGTACAAACCCCGATGCTCTGTTCAGACACCCTCAGAGCTGCTGGAGTGGGGAACGACGCCTGAGGGTGACAAAGCCCTCAAGAGCTGCTGGACGGTTAAGAAACAGCTGTGAGGCCGAGGGGCATCTACCCCAGGGATGCTCAGTGGGTTCAGGTTAGAATCACTTGGGGAAGTTTTTCAAAAGCGCTCATTCCAGAGCACCGTGCCCAGCTGAGTTAGCACCTCTGGGCAGGGCGCCCAGCTTTAGCATTCTGAAAAAAGTATCTCCCCATGAGTCTAATGTGCAAACACAGCTGAAAACACTTATTCCAGACAATCCCCAGGAGGCCAGGTTAGGACCAGGCTTGTGTGGAATATGAGCCTTTTGAGGGTCTGAAACAGCATCCTTCTTCAGACCATCAGCTCCCCAATCCTCTCCGCTTTCTGTGCACCTTTAACCCTAGCGGGTCTAACCACTTAGACCCTTTCTCAGATACAAACATGGCCCATGACCCAGAGCTCAGGGAAGGTGGGAGGGGCTGCTGTCAGGAGAGCCATTTCTTGGCCCGAGACCCTTCAACTGAGAGCAGCCTGGTCGGTCTAGACCCAGGCCACTCTGTCACCACGTCAGAGCCTAGGAACTCCAACCATGAAGCTTAGAAGAAAGAAGCGATTCTCACCTGCAGGAGAGCAGCCCCTTTGTAGACCTGAGCAAAAATTACCCGAAAAGTCCACATTTCTTGTGCTGTGCTTAGAGTGACGGCTTCTTGTGCTTGTGCTTGAGAGCCGGCTATTTAAAGGGACATTCCTGACAATGTAAAAAAGCAAGTAATATACATATATTTTGTAACACAGTTACTTTCCATTTTGTTGGTTTTCCACCTTTACATCCCAGCATGTTACGGGCTCCATTCGACATTTTGAAATGATTTCCTGGGTATGTGCTCTGTGTTAGTCATGTGTAAGCCATCTGGGCCCCTAAGCCAAGGAGGACAGCGACCTGAGATGGTAGACGATTCTAAGGGGTACGGGTCTAGTGACGTCAGTGGCTAAAGCACAGGCCACCCCTGAGGCCTCCAGAAGTGACTCGTCTGCAGCAGCAGTTTCTTTGGACAGAAACCAAAGCCCGCTTCTTGTCACGGGATCCTTACTCTAGGAGAGCCGGCTGAGCGGGGCAGTGGGACAGGAAGGGGAGTGAAGAACGGGCAGACTGTGGAAACAGGTGTTCGTCTGATTGAGAGAAAGAGTTTTCAAAGAAAAACAAATGAAAGCGAATGTATGTATGTATGGGCGTGACTGGGACATTGTGCTGTACACCAGAAACTGACACATTGTAAGTGACTGTACTTCAATACAAAAAACACGAAAGTTTTCAGTTTTTCCATTGCAGCAATCGGGCTGATGGATGAGTCCAGGATTTGGAAGAGGTGGAAGGGTGTGCATGTGGAGGTGGGAATAAAAATAGCACCTGGGTGTACCCAACATTTTTAGTTACCCTCTTGAATTAAGTGCAGGGCTGGGAGGAAACAGAATATATTTTTAGTAACTGAAGTTAAACTTGGCTCCTGGCCAAGAAAAGATCCCAAAGGCAGAATTTCTGAAGGCTCTGCTCAAAGCCAGCATGGCCTTGGTTAGCAGCGGAGACTAAGAACCAAGGGGAGGTGGGCAGGGTACTGCTCAGTGGTAGAGCGCATGCCTAGCATGCAGGAGGTCCTGGGTTCAATCCCCAGTACCACCCTCATTAAAAAGTTAGTGAATAAATAAACCTAATTATCCTCCCCCCTACCAAAAGAAGAACCAAGGGAAAGTTCTTAAAGTGGCAAGGTCCACTGTGGGGCAGGAGGAGAGAGGTCCTGGCTGAGGCTTACTGCTGAGTTTTGCCTTTTGTTGTGGCGGGAGGGTAATAGGGAAGAACAAATCCGACTCCGTATTAGATCTGTTCCTTTGGCTCTAACCCTGTGCTCTTGTTTCCTGTGCTGAGTCGAGCTGGTTCTGCACCTTTTGTAAAAGAATGTTGCCTATAGCCTGAAATACACAGGACAGCCCATTCTCAAGGCTCTGACCTTTAAGGGTATAACCCTTTCCCATTCCTATAAAGATTAAAAGTTGCAGAACAGAAAATAACATTTCTCGTTGGAGGTTCACAGGGACACCATGACCTGACCTACAGGGACAGCTGCAAGAACAGAGGATTCTGACCAAGAAGCTTGCAACAACCAACCACACTCCCTCCCCTTCTTAGTATAAAAGGAGCCTGAATTCTGACTTGAG